GGTAACTGTTGCCGTCGTTACTTGTCGGATCATCATAAAATTTCTCCAAACTACAGTTGCCACTGAACTCTACGTCAAGGGGTTTTCCATCTCCTGTCGTGCTGTCTGCATAATGTATCCCTGCTTCAGGGAAATGCTTTAAGCCTGAGAAGAGAAATGACTGGCTGAGGCCTCGTGTGGACCACTGCCTCCCATCAGAAAGCAGCATGGACTGACCAAGACACACAGCCCACCTGAATTTCATCACCAGGGATGGTCCCTGAAGACCTAGAAAAAGCCACCCTTGTACCTGTGCTTCATGGCGTATAAAGGGAACACACAAGATACCAAAGACAGCAAGCCTGAGCACGTGTGTAAGATACATATGTGAGCTAAAGCACTGCACTGTGCACTGAATTCCTGCTAAAAGGACGGCTTCCCATGACCACAGGGCTCCTCTGTGTGAGTGGGCGGCTCTACGGTGGACAAACATCTGCACAAGTAGTCGAGAATCAGCGCTCTAACCGTGGATTTGCCACTGCCCCGCTGTGCCGTCAGCTTATCTGAGTTTACCCGTCTGAAAATGAGCGCAATAGCAGCTCTGTGAGTCTCAGAGGCCGTCGCAAAGTTCAAATACGACAGTTCATTGGAAGTGTCTTGCTTACACGATCAAGATAAAATTCCAATTTAAATTGACTGGCATAGATTTTTTCAAGATTTTCCAAATCTAAAAGACTAAAAGCAGCTTTGTCAACAAACAAAAATGTAAAATACCCACGTCAGGCTCAATTCTACCCGGTCAACATTAAAGTCACGCCAAAGTGAGACAAGCGACCATATATCTGAGAAAAAGACGCCATTCTGCAAAACATAAATCCATACCTAGTTTCTCTGCTATTTCTTTTGCAAGCTTGCCTTTTCCAGAACATATGTTGCCATCTACGGTTATCACCTTGCTGTACTGCGTCAGTTTTTTGGTGGTTTTTTCACCAAGCGTGAACGCCAAAGGCCCATACCGCAGCTTGCACCGTACGCTGGTGTGAATCCTTCCCTGAAACACACAACAGCACGACGTGACCATTCTGCTTACTACGGGCATTAGTAACCACCAGGAAAAAACACCAAAAAGTCCTTGGTAATAAAAATGTCAGCATCTACATCTTTATTACCTGCTCGTTTGTTTAATTATCTGTTCTCCCCCCCGCGCCCCAGCCACGCAAGCTCCGTAAGGGCTCCCGCCCGCGGCTCGCGCCCTCCGCCCGCCGCCCCTCACCACGCGCTGGGCGCCGGTCACCAGGACCCGCGCGGACGTGGACGCCGCGGCCACTCTCAGGAGCCTCAAGGCCATGGCTGCACGGTCGGCTCAGGCTCAAGGACCCGAGCGGATGAGGTCGCGACGGGGTCCTCTCCTACTGCCGGCGCGCCGCCGTGACGTCACGGCCGGGGTGCCCGCGGCGCCTGTCGGGAGCCTTCCCAGCGGCGCAGCTGCGCGGGCAGCCGGGGAGAGCGCGCTTCCCGCCCGGGTTCTGCGGGCGGCCGGGGGCTGCGTGAGGGCCGTGGGCGCGGGGGGCGTTCCCTGGGTCCTGAGTCGGTGCGGGTGCGGGTGCGGGTGCGGGTGCGGGGTAGAGCCCGCCCCGGGGCTTGGCGCTGCGCCGCCACTCGCCCCAGGGCTAGGGCCGCCTCCCCCAAACTCCCCAGGCGGGTGTGGACGTCCCGGTCGCCTCCAGCTGTCAACCCTCCAGCTCCTGGCTCGGCCCGGCCCGGCTGGGGAGGGACCCGGGGGAGGATGGGCGGGGAGGCCGGGGCCGGAGCCGGAGGGATGGGAGTGGGGGGTGGCGGATGGCCGTGGGGAGGAGAAAAGCTAACAGATTCTGTTTCCGGCAGACTCTCTCTTCCCCCTTTAAGTTTAGCTAAAGGAAGCCCTCCACACAGAAAGAAAACGACACGACACGGCTGGGCACTTCAGAAGGAAGAACAATAGAATGGATAAAATAGGAGAAAATATAATAAGCCATCCTTTGCCTACTGAGTTTTTAAAAATCACATTTGGTGATTGAAGCAAAAATTATAACACAGAAGTTTTCAACAAAATGTTAGCACATCGAATCCAGCAGTATATAAAATAATATTCTAAAACCAAATGTGATTTATTTAAAGGATGTGAGGTGCATGTGATATTTGAAAATCAACCCGTGTAATCCGCCTTATCAATAGGCTAAGGAAGAAAAATCGATGATCAGAGCACCTGATGCAGGAAGGCATTTGACAAAGTCGAACACTCGTTTATGATAAAAACGAAACACCCCTCAGCAAGCAAAGACTCACGAGGAGCTGCTTCAACTTGACAAAGCATGTCTACAAAACAGCTGACATTATACTTAATAGTAAAAGACTGAGTACTTTCCTATTAAGTAGAAAACAAGGAAAGGGTATCTGCTCTCCTGTTACACAACAGAGCACTGCAAGTTCTATGCAATAAAGCAAAATAAATAGAAAATGCAGACAGATTGGAAAGGAAGAAATAAAACTGTCTTTATTTGTAGATGACATGATTGTTTACGTAGAAAACTCAAAGGAATCTACAAAAAACTCCTAAAACTAATAAATGAGTTCAGCAAGGTTGTAGGATACAAGGTCAACACACAGAAATCAACTGCATCCTATATACTAACAACAAACAGGTGGAAACTGAAATAAATTAAGGAATTTACAATTGCTCCAAAAGAAAACACAATACTTAGGTTCAAATCTAGCAAAACATGACAGAATCTGTTTGCTAAAAAGTACCAGACACCAATGAAAGAAGTCAAAGACCTCAATAATTGGAGAGACTTACTGTGTTCGTGGATTGAAAGACTCAACAGAATAACATTGTCATTTCTTCCCAAATCAATCTGTAGGTTCAGTGGAACTCCTATCAAAATCTCAGCAAGGTTTTTTGTAGACATAGGCTTATTATAAAATTTATATGGAAATGTAAAGGCTCTAAAATAGCCACAATAATTTTGAAGCAGAAGACTAAAGTGGGATGAATCACTGTTTCAATGTTAAGGTTTCCTGTATAATGATGTCAGTCCAGATCACTGGCATTCATGGAGGGCCTGGTATTGCTAGACACATGCATCCGTGAAACAGAACAGAGGACACAGAAATAAACCAACACACGTATTCTCAATGTATACAGTTACGCATCTAATACCGTGTTTTTATTCATCTTTCCTATGTTTAGATATCTTTAGATACACAAATATTTACCACTGTGTTACAGCTGCCTACACTATTCAGTATCCTGCTGTACAGGTGTGTAACCTGGGAGCAATAGGCTGTAGCATCAAGGTTCGTGTAAGTGCACTCTATGATGTTTGCACAACATCAAAATCACCTAATGACTCGTTTCTCAGAACATCACATCCCTGTCATTAAGCGACGCATGACTGCATTTGACAACGGTGCAAATGCAGTTCTGTGAAGGATGGTGTTGGGACAATGGGACATCCATGGGCAAAAAAATGAACCTCAATGTGAACCTCACCCCTACAAAAATTAACTCAGAATGGATCATGGACTTAAATGTGAAAGGTAAAACTATAAAGCTTTTTAAAAAATAGAATAAAAGCTTTGAGTCTAGAACTAGGGGAAGAATTCTTAGACTTCACATCAAAAGCATAATCCATCAAAGGAAAAACTGACCAAAATCAAATCCTTTTGGTCTGTGAGAGACCCTTAAGAGGATGAAAAGACAAACTGCAGATGGGAAAAAATATCTGCAAACCACATAGGAACCTCACGAAGGATTCATGTCTAGATTACATAAAGAACTCCCAAAAGTGAACATTATGAAACACACAATTTCATTAGAAGATAGGCAAAAGGTGTGAACAGACATTTCACTGAAGAGGACATAGGGTGGCAGATAAGCACGTGAAAACATCTCGACCTCATTAACTATTCGAGACATGTAAATTAAATCTACACTGAGATATTACTGCAAATGTATCGCAAGTGCTAAAATAAAAAAGAGAACGTCATAAGCTAGAAAGGACGCAGAGAAGCTAGTTCACTCGCGCATTGCTAGAGAACATAAAATGGTACAGCCACTGTGCTAAACATTTTGGCAGTTCCCTTTAAAACTAAAAATGGATTTACCATACGACCCAGCAATTGTGCTCGAGCATTTATCCCAAATAAACAAAACCGTAGGCTCACGGAAAAATGTGCGCATTAATATCCACAGCGGCTTCATCTCTAGCAGGTAACACTGGAAACCACCCACTCGTCCTTCCCCAGGCGAATGGACGGACAAACTGGTGCACCTGGACGATGGGATACGACTCAGCAATAGAAATGAATGAACTGTTGAAACACATAAAGACATGGATGGATCTCAAGAGGATTATGCTGAGTGAAAAAAGCCAAAGGTTATTTATATGCAATATGATTCCATTTATATTATACGATGTCCTTGAAATAACAAAATCACAGAGATGAAGAACAAATCAATGGTTTCCAGAGGCTAGGAAAGTGGCGTGTGGCCATAAAGCATGACATGAGGGAGTCTTGAGATTATGGAAATGTTCTGTGTCTTGACGATGTTGGTAGTCCGTGGAGCTCCCTTCACAGGTGATAAAACTGCATAGCGCTGTGATGCAGACACACACACACGTGAGTGCAGGTATAACTAGTGGAGTCTGAATATGTTCTGCGCATTGCACCAAAGTCGGCTTCCTGGTGTTGACACTGTACTTAGTCGTGCAGGTGATACCACTGGGACAGACTGGGTGGTGAGTACGCAGGACCTCCCTGTATATTTTTTGCAACTTCCTGTAAATCTATAATTATTTCAAAAAGAAAGTTTTAAAAATTGTATTCTATGTGCCAACAACAAAGAAACAGAGAATAAAAATTCAAAAATAAATCATTTGTGCTAGAATTTTAAAAAAAACTTCAAATACCTAGAGATGTGAACCACCCCTGCACTGAAAACTACGAAACAGTACTGAGAAATCGTAGACGTTATACGTTGAGGAAGAGATACCTTGTTCTTAGTTTAAAAGTCTCAAAATTGTGAAGATGACGTTTATCTCCATGCTGGTGTATAGATTCAACGCGATACCAGCGTGGAGACCACAGTGACCGCGCCGTGGGTGCACACCCACCTGCTGGTTTCTGATCAGTGCTGTCCTGCAACGCCTCCTGACCCCCACTTTATTCACTGTCCCTGGAGTAAGAGCATGTCAATTTGGACATCAGCACACGAATTACAGTCTATAAAGCACACAGCATCCATGCCTGGTCTGGGGGTTGCCCGTAACCGTGTCTATAGAGCAAGCACACCCTTTCCCCGTGGTATGTAAGCCCTGGGTCCGGGCAGTGGCAGTGCAGAGATCTTACCTGTCTTGCTGCTGCCCGAGACCACGCTTCTGTCCTTAAGTTCCCCAGTAAATCACCCTCTACTGACAAAACTGGTTTTGTCTGCCTGCGTCTTTGGTTTCTCTGCTCCTTCTGCATTTGGGGTCTGCTCTGCATATATGGCGTTTTCACAAAACAACCAATAAAAATCCACAAGTTTTTCTTTTGTTGAAATTGACAAGCTGATTCTAAATTGTATATGCTCCCATTTGGGAAGGGCTAGGAATAGCCAAGGCAACCTTGCAGACAAGAACAAGGATGGAAGACATGTGACTAGATATCAAGGCATGTGAAAAAGCTGTAGTAAGTCTACAGCGTATTATTGGTGCAGCAATACGAAGTGGGCACACTGAACAGACTGGAGTCCAAGCACTGATGATTCGCCTTGCTCCATTGCACTTCACTCCATCGCGCTTTGCAGATGTCCCATTTCTGGCAGATTGAAGGTTGTGGCAACCCTGCGTCGAGCAACTGCATGGCGCCATTTCTCCAACGGCATGTGCTCACTTTGTGTCTCTGTGTCAGCGTGTTTTAGCAATAAAGTATTTTTCATTAAAGTATGTACGTTGTTACAGATAATGCTATTACACACTTAACAGACCACAGTATGTATAAACATACCTTTTATGTGCACTGGGAAACCAAAACGTTTGTGGGGCTCACTTTATTGCAATATTTGCTATATTGCAATGGTCTGGAACTGAGCCCGAAATATCTCCAAGGTGCCTGTGTGGATAGCCACGTGGTTTGCGACATTGCAGAGGGGAAAGTGTGATCTTTTCAGTAAATGGTGGGTGGGGTGCAGGGTCATGTCCATATGGAAAAGAACGAATTTTGACCCACATACCATAAATAAAAATTAATTTCAGATGGAGTACAAATCTAAACATGAAAGATAAAACAATAAAGCTTCTAGAATGAAACAGGAGAATATCTTCATGACCTTGGGAGGGGCAAGCGTTTCTTAGATGGAAAATAAAA